TGTGTGTGTGTGTGTGTGTGTAACAGGAAAGTATCTGAGGTTGAAACGGATTGACTTTCAGTTGCCCTATGACATATATCAACACTGTGAACACAAAAGGTATTTTTTTTATTAGTTTGAAAAACATAAAACATGAATGGTCTGTCATCCTTTGTTAGCCCTTATGTCATTGCTAACCCGTTTGTCTTTATTCTGGAACAGAAAAGGAGGGAATTTTGTCAAACTTCTCTTTCTCGTAATTAGACCTTAATTAGACTAAATCAACAAAAGCCCCATATGACTTGTGCTCTACATTCCAAGCCATTGAATAGCTTTGTTTGAGGAACTTTAAAGGGGTGGTTCAAATAAGTCTCTGTTGTCTCCAGAGTGTGTATGTGACCCCACAGATAAATACCCTACAGATAATTTTTAACAGCATGTTATAATTGTCCCTTTTTGAGGGTCAGTGTTTTGTGTGTGTCCCTTTAAATGCAAATGAGCTACTGCTCCCGGCACAGAGGGCGGAGCTTCAAGAGCTTGTGTGTGTTAGCAGCTTATGTTGCTGATGTGGAGTGAACTATCTTCAATTAGCTTATTCTGCCATGATAATCTATAAAATTGCTCGTGTGGGAACTGTTGTAAGATGCCTACAGAGTGACATTCTATTGCATTTGTGTTACGTACTGTATTGCATGTGAAAAGACGGACAGATGTGCTCGACTACAACAACTCTTCCTCTTCTCAACATGGACTGTGTTCCCGGGGGCGGGGTTTATGTAAATTTTAGGGTTAGTGATGTCACTAACTCGGGAGGAATGTTGTGTAGTCCCTACCAGCCGTTTGTTGTAGTCCTTAAAAAACGATTTCTTTAAAAGCAAATATCTTCCTTTGTTTTGAACTTTGAGCCTTGTAACTTTGCAGATGTTGTTTATGCTTCAAACAGCAGCATTACACACTAACTAAAGTTAGAAAAGTGAAATCATAATCAACCACCCCTTTAAGTCATTATTTGCTGAAAATCCTTTACTGTAGGTCTCAAATCTTATTCACACATATGCACATTAAAAATTGTGCCTCACAATTGGTAACAAGACACATGAGAACCAATGATGCCATGGATCATTGGTTCTTAAGGGTTTCGCATGACATTAGGATGAGTAAATGATGAAAATTTACATTTTTGAGTCAACTATCCTTTTAAATATTGTCTATATTTAAACATACTATAATTGTGATGCAATCTCTGTTCCAATACAGCGTTCTAAAAAGTCGAAGACCCCACGGAAGACAGCCCCATCCAGTGAGTAGGCTTACCTGCTAATTTGTGTGTGTCGTTGTTTGTGTATGTAGGTGTAAGGAGGCTTTAATTTACTCTGCAGAATAACTAAACATTTTCAGTTTCCGCTCACAACTTTGATCTGTATGGATGCCCATTTGTACCACATAAGAAAAAAAATATCATGCTGTGGTAAATCATAATTATGAAATGAAAATTATGACATACAAAGTAAAAAGTCAAATTTATGACTTATCAAGTCATTAATACGAGATTATGAAAAATTATGACGTCAAAATTTGAAATTAGTAGTTAAGTCATTATACAGTCAAAATTATGACAAAAAAATAACTTTTATGGAATAAAAATGATTATGGCATAAAAATACAATATTCTGACTGTCATCGTAATGACAAAAACTCTAAATCAAAAGTCAAAATTATGAGAAAATTTGTATTCCATTATTATGACTTTTTATCTCATAATCTTTTATCTTTTGTTATAATTTTAACATATACTGTATCTCAGAATTTTCACTTGTCAGAATTCAAAATCTTTTATGTGCTTTATACATATTTTTCATATCATAATATCAACTTTTTGTCAAATTATGACAAAAAATTGTTTGTCAATTTTGACTTTTTATCTCTTTTTGACTTTTTTTTATTTGATGTTATAATCATGACTCGGTATCTCATTAATGCACCTTTTATTTCATAATTATGACTTAGTATCTCATAATTTGTACTTTTTATGTCATGATTATGATTAACAAAAGTATGGGTTGTTATGGGTTGTTTTTTCTTATGTGGTGGAAATGGGCTTCCATAGTTCCCTTTCGTTGTCACTCCGAGTTCCGTCGGATGACGACGAATGGGGGTTTCGCTTAGAAAGCCTATCGACTTCGAGTATACAAAACGAGCCAATGGCAAACAAATGCCATGGGTCTGCGGAATTTGCATGGCGCAACTCCGCCCCACCTCGTGGGGATAAAAGGAGAAAGCCGGCAATATGCAGATATGTTTTTGCTTCGGAGCCAAGATGTTCTCTTCACTCCTGCAGTCTATTCTCTGACTATCTTCGAGAATCTTCAAGACGAGCAGCTTCCAGTCGGTGTTGGTGTGATGGCGTGTTCCAGCGAGTTTCACATTCCTGCCTGCTGATCTGAACAGCTGTGTGCTTCTCCCTGGGCGCTTCAGCACTGCTGCAAGCTTTTCTCACACAAAAAGAGCGTGCACGCGGCACGTCTTTTTAAAGACGATCTGCCCGTGCATTTCTGAGTGCGGTAGTCTGATAGATTCAGCTGATGGGCACGAGCGCTGTTTTGACGTGTTTGGGCTTCAGTCACGTTCGAACAGCGCTCGCGGATGCGTCACGTTCTCTAAAGGGAACATGACCATCGCAATGTAACGGTCAAGACTCAATGAGCTCAACTGAGTGAGAGTCCCCTCATCCACACCCCGATCTATTTTCTCCACGTGAGAGAATACTTTGGCTGGTGGCCAGGGTGACCTGAGATAGCCGGTGTGGAACTAAACCGCCGATTAATATCCGTGGTCCACACCCCTCTCTTTAACATTGCAACCCGCGCGGTTCTGAATGAGTTAGCTGGTCAGAGCCGCGTCCAGAGGACGCCGGCGGGCCGGCATCTCATTCAGTTCCCCGGCTGATGAAATCATGTCTATCGCCGCGTCACAAGGTGAGCTGGAGTCCTTTGGAAGTGAGGGCTCGTCTATGTTGCCACTCTCGGGTGTGCAACATAGCGAGTCTGATCCAGAGTTGACAGCTATGCTTCCCGGGCCGCCGCGAGTATCGGGCATGTGTGGATTACTCTGCCATGTCTCGAGCACTCAAGGCTGATGATTGGTTTTGGGGAGGCGAACCCAAAATCCTTTCTACCCGGATGTGCATGAAGAGGTTATGAGATCGTGAGAGTCTCCTTTGACTTTCGCGACTGCTCAGCAGCCTCTTCCACCTTCTCTGCCCTCGAGAGGCCGCGGCCATGGGTACACTGGGGTTCCCCCCGTGGAGTGTTCTGTGGCAGCACGTCTGTGCCCCCACAGCGCCTCCACCTGGCGTGGCGACCCTAAGCACCCCTCCAATGCCTGTAGGTTTTTTGTCTACTCCGGTGGCAAAGACCTATAGAGCAGCGGACAGGCTGCCGTCTCACTGCATGTTATTGCCATCCTTCGGGGTGCTCAATGACATGCACGAGGGTAGGGCTGATTCAGGGCTCATCTAAGAGACTGCCTGCCGCCACCGACCTCGCTCTACGAGTGACGAAGGTGACCGCACGCTCCCTGGGTCAGGTGATGTCCACTTGTGTGGTCAGACATTTCTGGGTTAACCTGGTTGATATGCGCGAGGCTGAGCGAACCCGCTTCCTCAACTCCCCCATATCCCAGGCTGGCCCTTCGGCGGCGCGGCCGAGGACTCTGCCTAACAGTTCTCGGCCGCCCAGAAGCAGACTGAGGCTACCAAACACGTTCTGACCCCGCGGCCAGCTGCTGCCGCCGGCTCAGACGCCTCAGTCAGCTTGCCGCCGAACGCGCCCTCCTGCGACTTTCGCCCCCTCCCGCCCGGCCCCAGCAGCTCCGGGCCGCGCCGTGGAGGTGGTCGCAGGAAAGCGCCCCAGCCCGTACCAGCCCCGCAGCCTGCCAAATGCCGGGCAAAGCGGCGCTCCCGTAACGGGCAGCTCAGAGATGGGTTGCAGTTCTCCAGGAGGTGGTTGCAGGGCCACTCCTTTCCCCGGTGGAGGGCCGGGGGAGAACCTCTTTTTCCAGAGAGCTGACTTCCCATCTCTAAGCACACAGAGTTCTCGGACGACACGGTGAAGGACGCCTACTTTCATGTCTCCATCCTCCCTCGACACAGACCGTTCCTGCGGTTTGCTTTCGAGGGGCAGGCATATCAGTACGCGGTTCTCCCATTCGGGCTAGCCCTGTCTCCTCGCGTCTTCACGAAGGTCGTCGAGGCAGCCCTTGTTCCCCTCCGGGAACACGGGGTTCGCATTCTGAATTACCTCGACGACTGGCTAATTCTAGCTCACTCTCGAGATCAGCTTGGCGAACACAGGGACTTGGTGCTCCGCCATGTAGCCCGTCTGGGCCTTCGGGTCAACTGGGAGAAGAGCAAACTTTGCCCCTGCAGAGGATCTCTTTTCTCGGTATGGAGATTGACTCGGTCGCCATGTCCGCGCAGCTTACGAGTGAGCGCCCGCAGTCACTGCTGACTTGCCTGAAACAGTTCGAGGGCAAGAGTGCGGTTCCACTGAAACTTTTTCAGAGGCTCCTGGGGCATATGGCATCTGTAGCCGCGGCAACGCCGCTCGGATTGCTTCATATGAGACCGCTTCAGCTCTGGCTTCGCGACCGAGTCCCGAGGTGGGCATGGCAACACGGCACCCTCCGAGTACCAGTTACTCCGACCTGCCGTCAGACCTTCACCCCGTGGTCGAACCTCAGTTTTCTACGGGCCGGAGTGCCCCTGGAACGAGCTTCCCGGCATATTGTTGTAACGACAGATGCCTCTACCTCGGGCTGGGGTGCCATGTGCAATGGACGTGCTGCCGCGGGCTCCTGGACAGGACCCCACCGCCTATGGCACGTCAATTGCTTCGAGTTGCTGGCTGTACCGCTCGCCCTGCGCCGCTTCCGAGCCGTGCTCAGGGACCAGCATGTACTAGTCCGTTCAGACAATACCGCGACCGTAGCGTACATCATCCGTCAAGGTGGTCTGCGCTCCCGCCGTATGTCGCAACTCGCCCGCCACCTCCTCTTATGGAGTCAGAAGCATCTGAGGTCGCTTCGTGCCATTTATATCCCGGAGCCCTGAACTGGGCAGCCGACGAGCTCTCACGGCTTCAGCCCCTCCCGGGAGATTGGCGACTCCATCCCCAGTCGGTTCAGCTGATTTGGGACCAGTTCGGGGACGCACAGATAGATCTGTTTGCCTCTCACGACTCGACCCATTGCGCCCTGTATTATTCCCTGACCGAGGGCACGCTCGGCACGGATGCACTGGCGCACAGCTGGCCGCAGGGCCGCAAATATGCGTTTCCCCCAGTGAGCCTTCTTGCGCAATTCCTGCGCAAAGGTCAGGGAGGACGAGGAGCAGGTCACTCTGGTCGCGCCGTACTGGCCCACCCGGACCTGGTTCTCCGAACTCATACTCCTCGCGACAGCACCTCCTTGGCCCATACCTCTGAGGAAGGACTTACTTTCTCAGGGACGGGGCACCCTATGGCACCCTCGTCCCGATCTTTGGAACCTCCATGTGTGGCTCCTGGACGGGACGAGGCAGGTTTGAGTACCCTACCACCAGCGGTGGTGGCTACCATCACTTCCGCTAGAGCGTCGTCCACGAGACACGTCTACGCGTTGAAGTGGAACCTCTTCGTCAACTGGTGCTCTTCTCACCGAGAAGACCCCCGGAGATGTTCGATCAACGTCGTGCTTTCCTTCCTTCAAGAGGGGTTGGAGCGAAGGCTGTCTCCCTCCACCCTCAAGGTCTATGTCGCCGCTATTGCCGCACAGCATGATCTTATAGAAGGTAAGTCGGTGGGGAAGCATGACCTGATCGTCAGGTTCCTGAGAGGAGCGAGGAGACTGAATCCTCCTCGCCCTCCTCTCGTACCCTCTTGGGACCTCGCAGTGGTCTTAACCGCCCTGCGTAGTGCTCCCCTTGAGCCTTTACAGTCAGTCGAGCTTAACTTCCTGTCAATGAAGACGGCGCTTCTGACTGCATTGGCCTCCATCAAGAGGGTAGGGGACCTGCACGCATTCTCCGTTGACGAAGCGTGCCTGGAATTCGGGCCGGCGTACTCTCACGTGATCCTGAGACCCCGGCCTGGATATGTGCCCAAGGTTCCTACCACTCCCTTCCGGGACCAGGTGGTGAACCTGCAAGCGCTGCCCCCGGAGGAGGCAGACCCAGCCTTGGCACTGCTCTGTCCAGTACGTGCTCTTCGCATCTATGTAGACAGAACGCAGTGTTTCAGGACCTCAGACCAGCTCTTTGTCTGTTATGGTGGGAAGCTGAAGGGAAAGGCTCTCTCCAAGCAAAGGTTGTCTCACTGGATAGTGGACGCCATTGCTTTGGCATACCAGCAGCAAGGTCGACCGTGCCCCCTTGGTGTGACTGCCCACTCCACCCGGAGTGTGGCATCCTCTTGGGCTCTAGCGCATGGCGCCTCGCTAACAGACATCTGCAGAGCTGCAGGCTGGGCGACACCTAACACATTCGCCAGATTCTACAATCTCTGAGTGGAGCCAGTGTCCTCTCATGTACTCGCTTCAACCAGCTAGTACCGGACCCGCTCAGGTGTCTTCGCTTGCTCGCCATTCCACTCTACGGACTGGATACGTGCGATATTCTCCTCAGGTGAGCTTCTCCGAAAGCCCTGAGTTCCTCCAGCACTCCTGACGTCGGCGCCAGTGTCTCTTGCCTGCGCGTCGGCTAGATGCCTCCCGTGTGCATGGTACCTCCCGGAGCTGCCCCCACATGTGTATTCCCACTGTAAGCCTCTCTGAGCATGTGTCTTTCCCTTGGCAAGCCACCTTGCCACCCCTGGGGTTGAAATATTCCACCTGCGGCTGGATACCCCAGTGATTCCCCATATGCATCCCTCGGGTCATATGTGTATTTCTAAGTCCCCCCCTCTGGGTTGGCAGTAATTGCATACTTCCCTAAGACCTGGGATATGCTCCCCAGTGTACCTTGGTATTCCTGTGTTAAATAGGAGTCCTTCGTCCGTGCTAGTCTCACGACAGGGATCTCAGATTTGGACTGCACTGGAAGACAGCTGGGAAGGTGGCGTGATTAGACTGGTATCCCCATTCGTCGTCATCCGACGGAACTCGGAGTGACAACGAAAGGAAACGTCTCGGTTACGGATGTAACCCTCGTTCCCTGAGTAGGGAACGGAGACGTTCCGTCTGCCTGCCACTTCCGCTGTACCGCTGGAACAGCCGAGTTCAGTCTTGGCTCCTCAGCGAAGAAACATATCTGCATATTGCCGGCTTTCTCCTTTTATCCCCACGAGGTGGGGCGGAGTTGCGCCATGCAAATTCCGCAGACCCATGGCATTTGTTTGCCATTGGCTCGTTTTGTATACTCGAAGTCGATAGGCTTTCTAAGCGAAACCCCCATTCGTCGTCATCCGACGGAACGTCTCCGTTCCCTACTCAGGGAACGAGGGTTACATCCGTAACCAAAACGTTCTGTAACACTGCAAACACAAACAACCAATCAACAAACAACCGCCACTTGGCCAATCAAATTTGAAGACTGTCACTGACTACTGTGTAATATTATATTTAAAGGGGTGGTATAATGCCCCTTTTCACAAGATGTAAAATAAGTCTTTGATGTCCCCAGAGTGTGTATGTGAAGTTTTAGCTCAAAATACCCCACAGTAGAGATGCGCGGTTGGCGGTTACAGCCGCGGACTCCGCGGATAAACCGCGGATCGGGCGGATGACGGGACGAAAAACAATATTTTAATTAATTTCGGGCGGGTGGCGGGCGGTTGAACCAATCAAATGAAAAAATATACATTGTTAAATATTGTTATCTGACTATATACCTACATAAAAAAAAAAAAAAAAAAATCGAGCACACTTTGAAATAGTCAAATTTTCATCAGCTAGTCGAGTCTATGCAGAGACTGCTTGTTGTTATCAGAGATGGCAACGCCGGCGAAGGAGGTAGCTACGTGACAAATTCAAAAAAAGGAGAATTAAAAACAAAGGAAATAGAAGGTCAGAAAAGTGTTGCCTGGAATAAGTTGTGCGCTCTCTTGATATGCGCCCGTTCGATATTGTTTCTGGTAAAGGATTCCACCAAGTGGCCCAGACGTTGATTGACATTGGAGCTAAGTTGGGTGCTGTTGACGCTGGACGAGCCTGTTCTGAAGACTCCCGTTAATTTTGAATGCACGGGAAGAGAGCGGATAGCGCGTCTTTTTCAGGCACAGTGCAATTCATTTTATACCATCAACCTAACAATCATATAATAAACTAGAGCCTCGATATTAAAGAAACGCCGAAGTCACTCCTAGGCTTTTTCGTTGGTGTGCCATCAGCTATGTCTACAAAAGACAGATGAAATCTAATATTAATATTTGATCCATTTCGGCATACACAGCCTAATATTTTATAATGAAAAATAGCCTACACAATCAAGATAGACTATTTACTTTTTAGCCTATTTATTAAATCCAGGAAATTGGTTAATGAAACATGGATTAAAATGAAGATACAATTAATACAAAACGAAATTCGCTTTAAAGAAAGGCATTGTGCTTTTTTGAGGCCTCTGTGAAAGTTTGAAAGTCTTTTAGTGCCGCTTTCTGAGTGTTCACGTCCGTAATGGAGAACTGTCACGTATTGGTGCCCCATACAATAGCAGCATGTTGAAATTATGTGCCAAAATGCGTTTTCTATTAGGCTACAATGGAAATATTGTACAGTAGCCTATCAGATAAGGTCAGGTTTGCCGAAGTGCGTTTAATTTAGGCTATTTATTTATTTTTGTCCCTGCGCGCCGATCGGAGACGGAGTTCACTGCTGATATTCTGAGAGCTTTCTAGTCTCGCGGCTGTCATCAGCAGTGCCTTGTATCGCCCAATCAGCGGATGGCGGGCGGGTGCGGTTTTGAAAATTGGTCAAAAACGTTGGTGCGGATGGATGGCGGACGGATGATGAGTTTTGTGATGCGGTTGTGGATGAAATAATAGCCCATCCGCGCATCTCTACCCCACAGATACTTTTATATAGCATGTTAAAATTGTCACTTTTTGAGGGTGAGCAAAAACGCACCGTTTTTGTGTCTGTCCCTTTAAATACAAATGAGCTGCTGCTACCGGCACAAAGGGCGGAGCTTCAACAGCTCATTCTTAGCAGCTTCGGTTACCTCACACAGACATGCACTGAAAATTTCACAAACCTTTAGCCTTTTATGTTCAAACCGGAGTCAGACAAAGATGGAGAGACTCAAGAAGAAGTGACAACATGTAGAATGCAACAGGACATTTCTGAATGGTTAGTTGATGAATTTATGTAGCTTATGTGTAGTTATCTTCTAGTCATTGATTAGCATATTTTGTCATGATAATATATAAATCGCGTTCCCGGGGGCGGGGTTCATGTAAATTTTAGGTTTTGTGATGTCACTAACCTGGGAGGAAGCTTGTGTAGTCCCTACCAGCTGTTTTTTGTAGTCCTTAAAAATCGATTTCTTTAAAAGAAAATATCTCCCTTTGCTTTGAACTTTGAGCGTTGTAACTTTGCAGATGTTGTTTATGCTCAAACAGCAACATTACACACTAACTAAAGTTAGAAAGTGAAATCATAATCAACCACCCCTTTAAAATGGCTTTGTTCTCTGAATTAAGTCTGTAGAATCAGTGAATATTGTGTAAACATTTTCTTCTTTGTCTTTTTGAGATGGGTCTTTTGATGTAAAATCTCACACTCAGACCGAAGACAGTTTCTGTAAACCTCATAAGCACAGTGTGACTCGTGACTGCGTTTCTGACAGCCTTAATAGGTAAAGAAACACACACATACACAAGCACATTCGCAGGCAAAACATCTATTGTTAAATTTAAAGTGGAGTGAATTTCTTTTAGGCTGTTTTTTACACTTGGTTTCAATTTGTTTGTCTAAACCTTTTTTCTTAATCATAGAAATGTCAGCTGTAGACCAACTACAGAAGACGTTGGAGAAGAAATCAGTGAAACAGACACAGATAATAAGCTTCCCAATCAATCTGACCCATTCGAACTGCAGGTATATTCAGATTTCACTCCTCCATTACTCCTGTTCCATTACATCATGCCTGAATGTGACTTCATCATTGTGAATTAGTTTAAAGTGCATGGTCAGTTGGGTCACATTGCGAATGACTTTATTTGCAGGAGAAAGGCAATGATGCTGAAAATGTCCCCTCCCCTCTCCTGATGATGCCCTTGTCTTATGAGGAGAGGCAAGAACACACAGTGATAACAAATAACAAGATTTCTACCCTTTCCTCACATTCCTTTTTTATGTTTTATGGATCGTTTTTATGCTCTCCTCTTACTTGCACACTCACATTTCTCATTGTCTTGTACTTCTTACGTTTGTTCATACATCTGTGATTGCTCTTATTCCCCTGATAGGAGTTTCGTCTTGGAACATGGCATTTTTCTGGTGAGAAACTATGAAAAAATGAGAGACAGACAGGCATTGCTCCTGAGGGAGGAGGTGACAGAGCGAGAGAATGAAAACAAAGAAGATGGAGGGAGCAGCCAAAGTCAGAAAGGGGATCTGGAAGACTCCAGCACTAAGTCAGGTCCAGCAGTGTGTGTATAGCTGTAAAGTGTGTGTGTGTGTGTGTGTGTGTGCGTGCGTGCGTGCGTGTGCGTGTTGTCAAATTGTTCTCAGCTGTTAAAGGGGTATATTGCCTAAAAATATTCTGTCATCATTTATTTACATTCTATGACCATTTTCCATCCACTTTGACTCTTATCTTAATTATGCAGGCTGTTGTGCCTTTAAGACTGTCATCTTCGCATGAGAAATGACACAGTGTTTTGATGTGCTTTTACTCACAAGCTGCAGGTTGGCTGTCAAGTCCAACATAGTTCCCTCTTGTGAAAAAGAAGTGTGCTTAACTGTATTGAATGTGCACTTGTGGTGTACTTTGTACCTTAAAAGTATATGTTTAAAAAAATGTATTTGCAGATAATATAATATCAAAGAAATAAAAGGCAAAGAAATAAAAACTGAAATTTTACACAAACTGTTATCAGGTATCAGAGACTTTCTTTAAAAAAGTATCTAGAAGAAAAAAGTATCTATTCAGATTTTTCCTTAATATGGGCCAAGTTTCTGAATACCAAATAGATAAAACTTGGCGTCATGTCGATTCGTACAGGGTTTTCCCGCTGGATGGGCGTCATGAGTTTTCATATGTATTTGGTTTGTGTTCGAATGTATTTGAGTTGTGGAAGTATGAAAGCCATTTTAGTGTAATTTCAACAATTGTCACTTTTTTAAGTTTTGAATGTAGTACGAAATTGATCCCTCAAGAGATGACTCTAATATTCCAAGTGTGTAGCTGAAGTGAATTGGTTTGCCAGCAAACCTCACCTTGACCGTAGCAGCGTATGTACTGGTGCTACACTTACATTAAGTGGGACACTCTGTTTCTAGCGCTTTTTTTGACCGGAGGCAGTTTCTTGATGAAGAACATGGCATCAGCTATTCCTCCTCCTCCTTCATGCTCTGTGGGCCGTAGCTCTGGACCAGCTCCCAAAACCACCTCAATTCTATTTCCACTCCGCATTAGTCAAAAGGGCAGAAGAGGACATGTGGTTAACGGCTAGCGCAACTGGCACGTACAGGCTACCGTGTCCCGTTGAGTTCATGGAAAAAGTGTATTTAAGTGCATTCCGATTATTGCACTTAAAATAAAGATGACAGACTGTGAGAGTCTTCGGATTGCAGTCCATTACTGAATGTGCATTGAATAGTATGTGCACGTTTTTCAAGTGTGCTGTGTATCATGTATATGTGTAATAATAAGACTATATTCTGTATGTGTAAGAGGATGTGTGTTCTGCACATTACAGGCCAGCACCTCACTCACTCGAGCACACAGTCTGAAAACAGACTCGGCGGCGAGGGAGATGAGGAGGGGAGAAGTGTACGGAGCAGAAACCTCACGCAAACACTCCAGGGGATCTATGACGTCATTGTCAGTCACAAGGGTACGTCTGCTGATTTTATTAATAGAGACGTGTCGCAAAAGCCTGAGACAGAGGCTCAGTGTGAAGACCAGCACAGCTGATCACTCTTTCTGTCATTTGTGTTTTTTAGGGTCATCTGGACAGTCCCTCGCCGCACCTCTGCTGAACCTGTGCTCCAGAAAGAGGTTTGTGTGTGTGTGCTTTTCCACTCGCCAGTGTTGTTTGCTCAGCGACTCTCTGGTGTTCTCTTCACAGTCTCCAGATGATTAGAGATTCAGGGAATCTGAGAGTTGAATCCTCTTTGCACTGACAGCTACAGTAGATTACAGAATGCTCTTAAAGCGTTGGTGTGGTGATGATAGATATTAAAGGGGTCACCGGATGCCCATTTTCCACAAGTTGCTATGATTCTTTAGGGTCTTCATGTAAATTTTGTAACACACTTTGGTTACAATTCCTCAATGGTTGTGTAAAACAACACCCTTTTTACATCCTCAAAGACAGCTCTGTTCACTGCGACCCGTTTCGGTGCATATCTCTTTAAATGATAATGAGCAACTACTCACCCCACCCCTCTCTTCCGTGGGGGGTGTCGACACAAGACACATAAAGTGCTGCCTTGGCGAGTAGGAGGTCTCTGCGGAACAAAAGTGGGTGTTTCTAAATTTGTGGGTGTTTTCACACTGGTGGGTGTTTATAAATGATGCCCTTCTCCCGACCCCACCCCTAAGACCTACCCACACTGTGACGTGGGCAAATCAGGTAACGCGGTTGAAAACGCCCCTCTGTTTATGGCCTCGCCCCCTGATCTGGTAACTCCTATTACCGTCTGCAGAGACCTCTATTTGGCCTTGGCAGACAGTATACAAATGGCTAAGGGCGGAAATATGCTAATACGGGACAGTCTGTCAGTGGTCATGGGCGGAGCATGAGCAATATGACATCATATTGCTCAGAAAATCCAAACGGCTTTGGTTATTGAGAGTGTTTAGACTTTTTGAGGATTAAAAAAAAGGAGTGAATGGATTTTATTCATTGTATGTTGGTTGTGTCCACACACTGCAAAGACATTTATATGCAAACACCATATAAAAGTGAATTTTGCATCCGATGACCCCCTTTAAAGGAGCATTGCGGAAGTTCTGAAATTTCTTACCGTTACTGACACCAGTGGCCGTTAGAGAAACTGCAGCCAGTCTCATGCTCGTTCTCGGTGCACATGCTCGCACGCTCGTTGGCCGCACTAGATAAGGCTTTTTTTTTTCTTTTTTTTTTACTTACGAGGAGTTTCCGTGGGTATCTGGATTGTGCTGGAGGCTGGTCGCTTCTTTCCGTCCGCAGAGTCCATTTGAAACACTACTGCTAGCGATTTGCCGCTGCTTACTAATGGCTGCCGTACAGATGTAAGCCCAAGTAGACGAGAAAGCGCATGACGTCACATTTTGTGAATTTTCACACCAATTCGGACCCGACTCCTCCACAGACAATTGAGCCTACAGGCTGATAGAGGCAACCGTGGCCGACAGTCAATGTGTCATTCTTTCTATTACATTATGGTTGGCTCATAAATGTACAAATGAAGACTCTTATCTTAAAGATTTTTTTAGTAAAAACCTACACATAGCCCCTTTAAGGATGTCAATTGGAAGTAATTTCTATAATTTAAATAAATTCATTCATGTTAATGTCGCAAAAATGTCTGTGTCAGTCTCTTGACGCTGTTCACATAGTAAACACTGTACAGCGCATCCGGGTTCTGGCAACCAAACACACAGCAATGAACTTTGATTTGCTCCTTGCTATTGCTAGTCGGAGACAGTACACGGTACACTACTGCGCAAAAGTTTGGGGTCGCTACGAAAGTCTTACGATCACCAAGTCTGCATTTATTTGATCAAAAATACAGTAAAAACAGTAATATTGTGACATATTATAACAATTTAAAATTAGCTTTTTACTTTTTAAAATGCTTTTTGCATTTTTTTCAAGATTCTTTGATGGATAGAAAGTTCAAAAGAACAGCATTTATTTGAAATATACATATTTTGTAACATTGTAAATGTCTTTAAGTGTCACTTTTGATCAATGCTTCCTTGCTGCATGAAAGACTTTCTTTCTAAAATCTTACAGACTCTCCAAACTTTTGAATGGTAGAGTATGTATAATTTGTCGGTAGGGGATGTTCTCACTCTACAGAGCATTTTATCGGACAACAGTTTGTATAGTACAACATATAGTACAACATTTCAGTCAGTACACTAGAATATAGATGGCCTCAAAGCTACTAGACAAGGCCTAAAATCACAAACCTCCCATTTTGATTTCATGGGCTTTTTTTATATTTGTTGGGGGGAAATTAATTTAATTTGTGTGTGTCTCTTCCAGATCAGGCTCGGCTCCTGTTGATCTTAGTATGTTGCAGAGGCAGCTCCTCTCAGGCCACTATGAGAGTCTGGACACCTTTCATTCAGACATGCTGAAGGTGTTCCATTGCGCTGAGGTCAGTTTCACACAGTATTGATGGACTCACACTGTTTAATGTTGTTCTGCACCTGTCATGGGTCTGCCTAGGTCATACCTCATACTGACCATCAAACAAAATGCTGAATAGATTAGATTTTTATGGCCACACATCCTGAGTATTTTCCTTGCAACGTTACCATAGAACAGCACCATGAATTTACTCGAGTGACAGTCCCTCTGGAGCATCCTGAGCTTCAGTGTCTTATGCCTGACTGGTTTGGCAAGCACATGCTGATTAAAGACCCAATATCTGCAGATTGGAGCCAAGCCTAAAATCTGCTTCAGCATAATGTTCAGAAATGCACTGGTAATATCTCATCCTCTCATTATGTTTTGAATCCTTTCAGAAATACTACGGTTGCGAGTCCTCAGTGGGTCGTAACGTGAGGCAGCTGAGGGAAGTGTACCATAGTGCTCATCGGGAGGCCTTAACTCAGATCGGCAGTTTCCTGTGAGTGACAAAAAACACATCAGCAGCCTCTATCAGGGCATTGCTGTGACCAATCCCAGAGGCATGATGGGCCTTCCAGAAGGCAGATAATGCTCTCCGATACCAAAGACCTGCTGTATATTGCACTCACAGATGCACTGTACAGGTAAAAGGTTTGCCATTTATACACAAACACACACAGACTGTACTAACGTGCACACAAGTCCCAATTCACACAACTCTGCTATGAAAAAAAAAGAATTAATTTAGAGAAATGACATCATTTATAAACATCACTAATGGAGATGCACAATATATTGGTACCATATTGGTAATCATCCGACATTAGAGGGGTTTTTAAGTTAACAGTCAAAGTTAGATATACAGTATATTGGACAATATTTCATTGTGTATGCTCATATCTCATCTTTTTGCATTTAGATTACCTTTGTTGTCATTTATCAGCCAATTTTAAATTTAAAACACTTATAATTTAGTAACATTATTAAATGTAATTTTAAGTAAATCTTAAAATGAATATTCATTTTCATACTGAATATTATAATGCTGTGAATTCACCTGTAGCTTTTAATACAGTTTAGAAACTCTGATTTTATTTTTTTATATTTAAAAAAATATATATATTATTTCAGATTTAAATATTATAGTTTGTAGTGTTCATCAGCTAGTAATAGCCATTTATTAGTTTTCAATATTTTAGTTTTTTTAATTAGTTTATAGTAATAAAATAATATTTAGCTTTAAATAGTATACAATTGTAATGTTATAAAGTTATTAGTTATTAGCCATTTACTAGTTTTTAATATTTTATTTTAATTAATAATTATAAAATTAAAACATTTTTATTGTATTTGATTTAAGTAATCTAGAATTTTATCAGTTAGCTATTTATCAATTAATAATCATTATCCATTTATTAGTTCAATATTTTATTTTTAATTAAATTATAATCATAAAAAATAAAACATAATTTATTTATTTATTTTGATTTAAATATTATACATTTTATATTATACATTTTAATGTTTTTTCAGTTATCGCCCAGAACATGAATATATCTATTGGCTTATCAAATCAACCAGAATTTAATGTCAGCACATCCCATTACTGCAATAAATTATTTTCTAGCGGTATTTTTTTTGTCTTACATTTCAGTAAAAATATCTAAATATTATAACAGAGCAGTTAAAACAAGAAAAGAAATGAAGGCTTGTTTACGTAGAAGGTCTCTTTTACTTCCCCTAATGACAATTTTGTGTTTCTTTCCCTGGTTTGGCTAACCAAACCATTTGCTATTGGAAAAGTACAGTAACACAAGCTAATATTTTCAGTCGGGCTCTAGAGGTGAAGCACTAACTATAACAGCCTTAAGGCCACCGCATGGATCAAAGCCTTTTATTTCTCCGCACTTCAAGGGTCCTTTAATAATTCCCATTTCACTTGATTTATATTTGCTTGTAAGGTGCTCTCGCTCTTACTATTTCTCTCATTCTTTGTCCTCTGCAGGTTAAGACAGCACTCCTGGAAATGCCATTTGTGAGCATGGACACGGCTGATGCTTGACAACATGATTAGTCGAAAGCCCCTCAGCCTTTCTTTCTCTCAGGGAAAAGAAAGTCAAGCGAAGAAACAGGAGACATGATTAAACAAATCAACATCTGAGACCCCAGATCCTTTCATATACCCGAACAACATGCAATTCTTTTGTTTTGAACAGCATTCTGAACATAAACATGTTGAACGGGATGCCGGAAACCATGCAAACAACAAGTCGTGGTGCTGTTTGGGTGGAAGGAATGAACACACACAGGCTGTTTTAAATCATTCAACACACTACATCAGCATACCTACAAGATGCTGACTACATACGTACAGCTGACTGAACAGTTTTGAAGGATGTGAGCAGAATTGTGGCCTACAGCCTTTTTAGAGTTTTATGTTGGAGTTATAACTATAAAGTAAGCAATAATGCATGAAAGGTTTAATAACACAGCCTTAATGTAAGCAAATGTGTATGTTTATAGTCATTTTAGAAAAAAAACTATTATTTTAAAGGGAATTTACTACCACTTTGTGCAGAGCTGTCTTGTGCTAGTGATGTTTTGTAATATATTGATTTGAGTCAGTAATCTTTATAGCTTCGAGACTCTGAAATGTTTTATATCGTTGTATATTGTAAATAATGTATATTTAGCAAAATGATGTTTTAGTATGGTTCAAGAAACTCTATTTACAGTCTTAAATTGTTGTGGGTAAATAATCTCTATCTTTAATAATATTTTTATAGATAGTTTTCCGATGATGTCTCGATGCATGTGTCATTTGGAACAAGACATTCAATGCCTGTAAAATATCAGATTTTCATAGTCTTCTTTATGCATGACATACTTTATATTGTTTAATGTATAATCGCTGTGTATGCAACAAAGTATATGGTTATGCTGAACTAAGAAATTCGTTGTTAGAAGCTCATTAAGCAGCTTAAAGCAGAACAAATGAATTAAACCAGCTACATTAGTTAACTAATTAAAGTGAGTCAATATTTGAACCATTGTGCTTTCAGATTTAATAGGTTTTATTGTTTATAGATAATAGTGCTTGAAGAAAGTTGTAACCAATTACTCTACAGAGACTAATAAACCCATAGGCAGAGCTGCAGATCTATTTTTATCTTTTGATTTGTCCATAAACGTATTAGTGCTTCATAAGCCAAATTTTATTTCATCCCTGTAGCTTTGTCTGTACAATTAAATGTGTCAGTGGACCTACATTAGCTAATTGTATCATATGATTCATTAAATTTCATCTCTTTATGGTATTAACAGTATACTCAAATTTGTTTTCAAGGCAAAAGCAGGTCACAATGTAAAATTGTTTAACTGAACTCCTGAGTAGGTGGAAAATTGTAGATAAAGTTTCTTTCCAGGTCTCTTTTTACATAGTGGACTTGATTTCATCCCTCTAGTTATATAACGGGATAAGAATAGATTCTGGTGTGACTGATTTTCACATAGGCTACATTCATTACCGTATAATGTGAAAAGGGTCGTCACAAACGAGATTGAAAGAGAAGATGCGGAATATTATGACTAATTGTGTTTGAAGTGTTGGAATTATTAAATAAATAGATTTTATACCTGCTAGCTGTATTAGCTGTTATTTCATTTGATAGCGGTGTCAGGATTGTGTTTAGAAGGGAAATGGCACTCTCTCCTGGTAATAATATTAACTCTGAGATACTAATATAATAGATGCAGATTTGAAACTGCATTGAAACTTAGACTAAATCAAATGTTAAAATAACCTTATTGAATGAAAAGAATAGTCCAATGGCATTTTGATAAAAAAATCCTTGTTTTCCTATAGGTCTAGGCTACATGCAAAATGTAGTGTTGTGAATAAATAGCAAATGGCAAAAAAGTTAGTGAACTTGTCTACAAAGGAGCCAGCAGGGTCACTGAAGAGCATACTTGAAAATCAAGAATAAATAATAAATAAACATCATGTGTAAAAACATTTCGTATTAATTAGCCTATATATATGTATATGAATCAATCTACGTGTATATACACACTCACAGACATGTGCGAGTTTGGACTGTACAAATTTAACTAGTGAGAAAGTGAAAAGTGTGCTTTAAGAAAGTTTACATTTTCCATAGAAGTGCAGGTGAATGACACTTGCATAATATCGCCATCTAGTGGATTTAGTAGATCAGTGCAGGGTATCTTTGTATAATCCCATCAACCTCGAATAGTTGAACAACACAAGGATAGACATGAAACTGCTCTTTTAATTCTTTCAAATAAATAAAATAAAATTGCATAAATTATTTTTAATTGACCAAAGTATTTTAAAGCATTTACATTAAAAACATAAATTGTAACGTTACACGTTAAATTTTTGTTAAATCCACTATTGTTTTATATATAATTGTTCTATTGACTATACAGCATTCAATGCAATTACAGAAGCAACTGTAATTAATTAAAGCTGCAGTCCGTAGCTTTTTTGGGGTTAAAAATGATACAAAATACATATTTGAGAAAATACATAACCAGCCAGTGTTCAACGCTATCTGCTTGCCGTAGCTCGATTCAAAACGGTAAGCTTGTAATAATGTTTTAATAGAGAGCCTAAGTCCCTCCCCTCCGCTTCCGGCTCATGGGACCCTATTTCGGAACTTACGAAATAAGGTCCCATGGTGGTCGACCGGAAAGCTCTCTATTCCAGTGGTACTGGTGGATTTCCGCGGGAGATTCGAGCATGTCTTTGGGTCATTACGTCACATCTATACACATAAAGAAGGAGTCTCGGCTAGTAGGCTATATTGCGTGTGAGGATGTTGGAGGTGGAGATTTATAGCATTTTCTCACAGCACTTGATATAATTAAACTTAGCAATTTGATGGCGGATCCAGAAAGGTTCAAACGACAATCACCAGTGACAACAGATTCACCCTGTAAAATCCAAAAGACTTTGTTCGGACTTCGGAGTGGCTACAGAAAAAAAGAGACTTCAACCGGACCCATGCGAAAACAATGATAAATAAATAAAATCCTGATAAATATCGGAAGGACAATAGACTACATGTAGTCACGCAATACTGACGTTGTTAACATTAACAATTTGAGAACAAGTATAATTTGCACGGTTTTGCGTGATGATAAGCTGTTTTTAGATTTAATCAGCGGGATGTAGGCTAGTGCAATGTCAGAACCAGAACAAAAGTGGATGTTACTTACTTGTTCAGATGACATTTCCCGCCCGGTGAAAATTCTTATGTTGGTCATACTTCCAAAAAGAATAATCTGTGATTCTGAATGACAGTATCCACACCGGCGCGGTGATTGACAGCTGCACACTCTCCTCAAACATTGTGTTCATCCGCGCTGTGCCGTGTCGAGGCGATGTCGAACTACAACTCACGTAAAGTTGATAATTCCGCGAATGACTGCAATTGCAGATTTCGAACAGAGATGGCGACAAAGAGGAAAAACTGCGGACTGCAGCTTAAGGGTTAGTTCACCCAAAAATGAAAATTCTGTCAGTAATTACTCACCCTCATGTTGTTCCAACCCCGTAAGACTTTCGTTCATCTTCGGAACACAAATTAAGATATTTTTGATGAAATCTGAGAGCTGGCTCACTCCTCCATAGGCTTCTTAAGGGATCGAAACTGGCCGGCCCAAAAGTTATGAAAGACATCGTTAAAATAGTCCAAGTGACTACAGTGGCTCAATCTTAAGTTTATCAAGCGACGAGAATACTTTTTGTGCGCAAAAAAACAACAAAAAGAACGACTTTATTCAACTACTCTGTAAGGCCGTGATATTTCACGTAGTGAAACTACGCAAAGCTTCTAGGTTGTACGTCACGCATCACACACATGACCAGCGTCGGCCAATAGTGAGCCTACGTGTGACGTGCAACCTAGAAGCTTTGCGTAGTTTCACTACGTGAAATATCACGGCCTTACAGAGTAGTTGAATAAAGTCGTTCTTTTTGTTGTTTTTTTTGCGCACAAAAAGTATTCTCGTCGCTTGATAAACTTAAGATTGAGCCACTGTAGTCACTCGGACTATTTTAACGATGTCTTTCATAACTTTTGAGCCGGCCAGTTTCGATCCCTTAAGAAGCCTATGGAGGAGTGATCCAGCTCTCAGATTTCATCAAAAATATCTTAATTTGTGTTCCGAAGATGAACGAAAGTCTTACGGGGTTGGAACAACATGAGGGTGAGTAATTACTGACAGAATTTTCATTTTTGGGTGAACTAACCCTTTAACATAAAAAAATAAGAGTAATCTCTTACTTTACTTCTTTAAAGAGAAAAGTATATTAAATAAGGCAGTTTCACTTTTTATTGATAGAGTGGGGGGTAACAAAAATGTCCAGAGGTTTCATATAGATTTTTGACAAAAAAAAAAAAATGTATTTGCACCACAGTAAAATGTAAAATGAAGTAAAGTAAAATGAGAAGTAAGAAGTAAAATGCCCCCACTCTGATAAAGCAATTTGCTTTTTCATTTACAGCAAAATCAGAGTACAAGCATCTTTAGCTTAAAATAAAAATAAAAAAGCCTAAAATATGAATATTTATTAATGAACCATGCTGAAAACCAGCCTATTTGAAAAAATGGCTGGTATGACGTAAATTTGTAGGCCAAATCGCGGAAACGAGATTTGGGTTCCATAGTCCCGAAGTTGTTGTTTTTTAAATGGGGTTTTTGGTTAAATGGCTGAAATAATGTCTTTGGTGAACACAAGTTGAAGATACTTTCACATTTTATTCTACAACATAAAATACAGCAGTATTACCCCCCTCGTGATTTTGTGTCTTGAAAAAGGCGGTTGCTAACAAGTTGCTAAATGAGACCTGAGCTGTTGAAAAACAATGGGACTACAGAGGCTGTCATCGGCGACATTAAACGTCATCACGCATAACAGGTAAACTCAGTCTGCTTTTACAACCTCCTTATGCTTATAATTGTGCTCTTATAAACTATTCTAACTGAAACTTTCTGGGAAAATGTTGTTTCTATGTAGGAAGCTTATGATGGTGACGTTGAAGTCATGTGGCGGGGTGTAGTTCGTTTATAGCCTACCTTTAGCTTTTTACTTCTGACTATTGTATTTAGGCTTAAAAATTCATAAAAGTTGCATTCATCTGTGAAAACTATCTTGATGTACAAAATGTCTAAGTATCATAAACGTTTGTTGATCACAGAGCTTCTTTTTTTTTTTGTGATAATCCAATCACTATTGGTCCAATCACTATTACCAAAAATCCTATTGGTTTTTTTTTTTGAGGTAACCAGTGTGATGCTAACTGCCGATTGCCCTACAACGTGACGTCATTCCTGGACCCCTTTACTTCTACATCACTCTTGTCAATGTAGTCTATATAGCAACAACAAAACAGTATTTTAACTCCATAGTGGTTATTTTGGGGAAAACAGTAGCATTTTACCCTGGGTATTTCCCACCCACTCTACCCTATAACGTTGTACCTACATGTCTTACTCTTATTAGAGTGTTGGTAGAGTATTAGTAGACTGGTAAGGTTAGGGTTAGAATAAGTTGACATGTACAAAGTTACTTATAGTCAGTAGAATGTCTGTTGGGGGACCATCAAAATAAAGAGTTAGCAGATACTAAGCAGACAGGCTACTAATACTCTTATGAGAGTTAGTTGCAAAATGACTTAGTCAACAGATTGTCAAAAGGGACCATCAAAATAAAATGTTACCAATGAGGCTACAGTAATTAATTACTTTGTAAATCATTACACCCAACACTGCATTCACCTTGGTGGGGGTACGAGAAAACAGTTGTGACAGTAAGATACATGTTCAGACTTAAGCAATTAAATATATGTATTGATTACAATTGGAATCAATACATATTCATCATTGTATTTGCTGTATAGGCCTATTATAAGCCTTATATTAAAACCCTTCCCAACTAGATTCCTACCTGTGAATCTCAGCCATTTCCATACTGCATATCATTATGAGCTAAACATGTGATACAGCAGTGAAATCCCTGTGCTGTGCATAACTGGACCTCTGCTAATAGCACACATATAGCCTACTCATCTAATTTTTGACATTTTCGCCGTTTGTTGAAATAACGAGAGTGAAGCAAAACTGTCACGGAATGGTAGACAAGAGACGTGGATTCAGATGCAGAGTGATTTAATAACAAAACAAACAGGGTAGGTACAAACTTCAGGGCTTAGACATCACGGGAGGAACACGAAGACACGTAACATGTACAACAAACCAGCACTGGACTGCAAACACAAAGGAGACTATATAGGAACCAAACACAGGAGACTAACGAGACAACCAAGGTGAAGAACGTTAATCACTAAACAGATAACGAGATGGGAGGGGCTGACAATAGACAGAAGAGCACATGGCACAAGGAACAACATAACAGCCATGTGCTCACAACAGACTAGACAAGACACAAACACACGACAACCCGGGAGTGTCACAGCTCTGTCACTAAACCATGAGGAAACCCAGACAAGGAAGACAGAGCTGTGACAAAAACAAAAAACAAACAAAACCCAGATTATCCCTTACAGATATCTGATGGCAGCTGTTTTTACAACTGCTCATGGTCTTTAGCTGATGTAAGTGCCAGGACTACCAGCTGTTAGGGTTGAGATCAATTTGTTGGTGGTCAAGCGAAGTAGAAAAGAAACTTGGACCTGGACCAGGAACAATAATGCGCATAACACAAGATATCTTAACATAATGCAATTTCTGTTCATTTTATTTTACTGTTTTATTATTATGTTTTTTATATATATATATATATATATATATATATATATATATATATATATATATATATATATATATATATATATATATATAATTGGCCTTAGCCCTGGATAATTTATAGCCTCTGACTTTGATTCTGTTATTTCTTTATTTGTTTGTTTGTTCATTGACTGATATTTAGTCTAAGCTTCATATTAAACTACATATTTTACATTTAGGGACAGTAAGACATTTATAATATTACAAAAAGATTACTATTTCAAATAAATGCTGTTCTTTTGAACTTTCTATTCATCAAAGAATCCTGAAAAAAATATGTCATGGTTTCCACAAAAATATTAAGCACTGTTTTCAACATTTATAATAATAAGAAGAAATGTTTCTTGAGCAGCAAATCAGCATATTAGAATGATTTCTGATGGATCATGTGACACTGACAAGAGTTATGATGCTGAAAATTCAGCTCTGCCATCACAGGAATAAAATATATTCAAATAGAAAACAATTAGTTTTCATTTTAATAATAGTTACTGTATGTTTGATCAAATAAATGCAGCCTTGGTGAGCAGAAGAGACTTATTCATTTAGGACAAAACAAATGGTTAGCTCATAAAAGCTACCAAATAAGTCAAATTTGACCTTCCGTCTCATATGGAGGGACACAACAGGTGGTGGGATGATCACATGTGCAGATAATGTGCAGATAATACAAGCAGGGACAACCATACTGTTGCCATCTCTATAATTAGAGTCTTAGCTGTAATAGTCAACAGAGTAAACTGTATAGGCTGTATTATTTTTTCATTTGCTGATATGAGTCTCATAGCATTTATATTCTTGTAAATTAACTAAGATACTGGTCAAAATTTTGAGGTCAGTAATGAATGAGAGGGAAGGTTGAATCTGACTTTGGTAATATGAGCTAACCATTTGTTTTGTCCTACTCTTGATATGAATCAGTCAGACTGTAATTTAAATGTGTTTGAGGACAGTGACACGATTTATTGGGGGAAGTTGTGTGGGGGAATCTGTGCGGGGGAGTCGAATGGCTCCCTTTATTTAGAACACTTGGACAAGTCAAGTATGGGCAGAGGAAGAGCTCCCAAACACTCCTGCCCCTGCACATGTGGTGGACATGTGTGTTGTCATTTGTCTCTGCAGCTGTTGGGACAACACCTCACATCTAAACCCCCTGTGCCAGCGAGTGTTTGGGACATTTAGGGGACGCAAGCAGGGTTTTGTCAGCCAACGCTTTTCAAACAAGTAGCTGTAATGGACTCTCGACTGTCGAAACAGATACAGTGCTCCGTGTGTTTGGGGGACTTTACGGATCCCGTGAGCCTGCTGTGTGACCACACTTTCTGCCGACAGTGTATCAGCAATCATTCCCAAAGCAGCCGCTTGAGACTGTGTCCGGAATGCAGGCGACCCTATACTATGTGGGACCTCCGGTCCAACCGCGTCCTGCGGAATATGGTGAATGCCGTGAGGGAGCACTTAAGCGAGCAACAGGCGCTCAGGGACATGAACGGAGAAGCTTCGGGAGCAGGCGGTGGGACTGCAGTGAGAGTGTTTGAAGAACCGGAGAAGCTGGTGTGTTCAGATCATCAGGAGAGACTCAGGCTGTTCTGTGAGACGGACCAGAAACTGGTGTGTCTGATCTGTAGGGACGGTGAGAAACACCAGGGACACAAGTTCAAACCTGTGGAGGAGGCAGCGGAGCCCCGAAAGGTCAGTGAGTTAGGACTGCAAAGTCATAAACTGTAGATATTACGTTAATTAAGTTTGTTTGATGCTACTTAAATTGCAAGTCATATCCAAGTTTTTTGGTTTCTATTTTGTATCTAATCCCACACTGAAGACTGACTGAAGATATGTGATCATCTTATAAGTAACTGTACATAATTTGTCTTATAAACAGAAAAATAGTTATGTAGGGCAGTTATTGCAGCAAGTTTGTTCTGGGTGAGACCTGTGAGACTTTCGTTCATCTTCGGAACACAAATGAAGATCTTTTTGATGAAATCTGAGAGCTTTTTGTACTCTCCTTTGACAGCTATGAAACTACCACTTTGACACTTCAAAAAGTTCATAAAGAGATCGTTAAATTAAAGTAACAACAGGTAACTTTTCAACCTTCATAATATATTTCCAAGTCTCTTGTGATGGTACATCGACTTACAATAGGTTGAATGACACGTCTGCCATAGCCTGACGGGGTCTGTTGCGTTTTTAATCGTACTTTTAAACTTCGGGTTTCGGGTAGTAACCGGCGAACAAAGAGAACTACAAAATTCGACTGCTTTACGGCATATACGTCACTTCCACCACCACCCCCACTTCCTTAAAATCGGACTTGCGAGCCAAATGTTATAGTCATGGCCGAAGCAGCACAGAAAAACAAGAAAGCAAAGGTTTTATCGGAGCAAAGCAAAAAGAGAAAAAGAGAAAGTGATCGCGTTAAAGGCAGAACGAGGATCAACATTGCAGAGCTGCCAACTCTCACGCATTGGCCGTGAGACACCCGCATTTGATTGGTTTCACACGCTCACACGTACGGCACACCCCCGGTTTCTCACGCTAAATTGTCAACCCGGTCGGTCAAATCCCTGAAAGATGAGTTTATCTATAGATCTACCTGTTGAGCCACTCGTGATCGACAAGTTATACCGCAAATTAGTTCAAATCTCCCGGAATCTAGAGCGAGCGCGCACGCGAGACAGAGACTGTGCTCCAACGCGCGCGGACGGCAGAGAGAGAAAGCGAGCGAGAGACCTTGCGTGTGCAGGGAGCATCGAACCCTCCATCGAAAAAAGAATGCCTCTCTCTAACCTCTCTAATTCGCTAGAGTAATAGCGAATTATCAATCTGGTAGCTAGTAAACGATATTCTAGTTTTTGATGGTTAGCTATCGCTAGTATTCTCGTTCTGATTTGAACTTTGCAATCGATGAAATGCAAATAGCAAATGTTTGACCTAAAAAGTGTAGTCTACTCAACATGTACAAAGAAAGGAGGAAGATTATTAATAAAATCATATTTTAGGATACCTAACATGTCTGTGATATTTGTTTATTTGTCTTGCCTCAAGCTATAATGCAAATCGATTTGTAAAATTTGCAGATTCATTTATGGTAGCTTGATATTATAATATTGACGATATACGGTTATTATCAACCACTCAAACATTGCATTGAAGTATCATATAGATCCAGTAAAACGGTAACCAATAGACTAGGCTACTATAATGACGCTGGCTTGTAAACGTGAGCATCGCGATCATTTGTCGTTAGAAAAAAAATAAAACCCATGAAATTATATTCATATGACATGCTGAAATATATGCCACTGTACCTGGGATGAAGACATTTCACACGCGACGCAAGCAGAACACCTGCATGTGACCTCCTCCTACAGTGTTCAGGGCTATCCTGGTTGTCAACAATTGCACGTGCATGTAGGATGACAGAGTTTACGACAGTAGTAGAGGACAATACTGTTTCCCAACTGTAGGGGGAGCCCGAGAGCAAAAAACTACCTGTTGTTACTTTAATCCATATGAGCGGTTAAGTCCAAATTTTATAAAGAGACTATATATAATGAACAGATTGAATTGAGGCTTTTATTCACATATCAATTCACACATCAGTTATGATAAATGGAAGCTCAAGCATGTTCGCTTGACATGAGAGAACCAATGAGGTTTCAGAGTGGTATGTTTTTTATCTTTTTTTTTTTTTTTACACCGTTTAATCATGATAATTTTCGATCACAAAACCATGATTCATTTTCCTTAGAGGCGGTGAAAAGGCTTACAAAAGCGAGAGCTTACAAAATTGAACAAAAACAGCTTTGCCCTTTGTTTACATTGTAGCAACAAATAAAAACTTATCATTAGAACTGTTAATAGAAAACACAACTAAATAATAAGACACATTTACAAGTTGTGATCCACAAACAACAGATTGTCCCTACAAAGTGGGAATTGCTCCATTTCAGGAGCTTTTGTGCGTAGCCTGCATTGTACTCTCTTATGTTCTGAAACTGTTCTCTGTAAAATGTGCAGCGCTCAGATAAACATTGGGGTTATACATTTTCAGGAACAGTGTTTAAAATCATTTTTTAACCACTCTTAAGTTCGCCAGCCTTAGGAAGGTCAGTTTTGGAAACTGGGTGGACAAAACAACGTCTTTTTTAACTTAGCTACAACACTGTCTTATGCAGTAAACCAGGCCTCATCTCCTTTTTTGTGTATTCCGTGTGCGTAGATTATTTCAATGAGTAACATTATGACTTCACAAGATCTGGAAAAAACGCAATGTTGTCCAAACGAGTCGTTCATTGTAGTTCATGGAAAGTGGATTCTGCAAATATCTCCCTTAGGACTTTGAGCTTTGTAACCTTCCAGATCTTTTTTCATGCTCAAACAGCTATTGCACAAGTTGAAAAAGTGGAACCGCATAATAGGACCCCTTTAAGGTTGGAATACATTAGGCCTACACAACTTTTTGGCCCCGATTTACAATCTGTAGAGTCACTAGTACCAAAAGTCAGTAACCAGTGTACAGATTTGAGTTGACCAATTTCACAAAAAATCATGTGTATGATGGACACAGATTTTTTTAGCTTCAGATTGAGATATTTTGAGCCCATTTTAGAAAACTTTGTTACACGGAAGAGGCACACGTTTCTACGCGGATTTGTTGTGTTTGGAACGACTTGAAAGTGTGAGTGATCCTCACTCGTTCAGTGTATGATGCCCAGTTTTTCTCTGTAACCATTTCCAAAGTTGGCAGTGTATTAAAATCTGTTCAGAAATCTGTTCAGTCAAGTGTATTCCAGCCTTAATTAGAAGAACGGGTCATAAAAAACGAAGCTTGATAACTTTCTCCACACGTACTTAAGACATTATACTTTACTAATTGTTTCAGAGATTTTAAGTAAGGAATATTAAATAATGAATTTTATTATTTTATTATTTACTTTTTTCATTTAATATAAATAAATATAACCAAAATTATTATTATTATATTATTATTTATATTTGTAAAAAGTGAATTTTTACTTTGGTAAAAAAAAAAAAGAGGGATAAAGCTTCAATAATATTTTACTGGGGTTTAGTTTGTCAGGAACTAAAACACAATAAATGATTAGTTATTTAGGCCAAGTAGAAAATATAAGAAATTATTATTCTCTTTACATTAAAGAACTTAAGGGGAAAGTAAGAGGTTAATTTCAAATGTACGGTCATTATTTTTACATTTTCATCATTGGGGTCTAGGATCTCAAGCTTAAAAACAAGTCTCATCTCAACAGAACATGAGGGTTAAACTTATTAAAGTGTAACTTCACCGATTTTCAACCCAATTTGCGTTCGGTATTGTATATTGTATTGCCATTTTGTTATTGTGGGTAGTATATGTAAATTAACAATGTTTAGCCTACTCTTTCTCCGTGTTACCTGCAAGAAATTCACATTTATCCGTCAGCAAAAGTCCGCCAGATAATGCAAAACGCGTCATTCGGTGGATTTTCGACAGCTGCAGGGCTTTCGTGAAAACAGCAGTTTCTTTTAGTATTATTTTCAGTTACTATACACTGTGTTTGTTGTCATCCAGTTTGAAATGTTGACTAAAAACACTGAGGTTTTACAGATTTTCTGTCGCGGTATTCTCTCCATATACGTTTATAAGATTCTTTGCAGTTTTTAGCCAAAGGATTCCTCACTGGAAACAGAAAGTAACTCCTTCCCGCTAAATGTTTACTCTTTGAATGCTTACACCCGAGAACAATTTAAGTCGACACCATTATGACTAAAAGTTTGCTTCGAAGTATTTCCAACTAAAGCAAGGCGGTTGACCTATTTGACTTACGCGTATCCATAGCAGACTGGTGGGAGTGGCCTTGGACGGAAACATGCCCTGTGCATTATGGGTGTTGAAGTTTTCCTACCTATTTGGCAAAAGAGAAGAGGCCTTTTTTCTGTTTTATATAATACTTTTTTTTTTTTTTTAAGTGTAAAAGCATTAACAAAGTACTTTCAACAGACCACGAATAACCCCAAAAGCTTGGTTCTTTCTACGGCCATATTATGTAGACTGTCACTGGTAGTAATATGAAGCTCATTCAGCTCATTATGTGTAGTGCAATTATGATTTGAAATAATTTTTTACATCTTTTTGAGTAAAACAGTTTAAAGATAATGCCTGAAATATGAAATATCTTGTGTGTTGTAGAATTTATTGTTAGAGCCTCTGAGTTTCCTGTCAAAGGAGAATGAAGACCTGCAGGCTCTTATCAAGAAACAGACGAATGAGATCTCTAAAACTGAGGTGAAAAATACACTTTACACAAAAGAGTGAAACAATCTATCAACATCACTCTAAAGACTCCATAAAGGATCATAGCAGGGTTCATTACTATCCGTGATTCTTTTTTTCTCAGGAAAGGTCTCGACAGCTCTCTTCTCAGATCTCTGCACAGTTTGAGGAGATGCACCAGTTCCTGAGGAAAAAGGAGGAGCAAGTGAAGAAAATGTTAGTGAAAGAAGAGAAGGAAATGATTGAAAAGATGAAAAGAAATAGAGCAGAAATAGAAGAGAAGCTGAATGATGGAAGAGAGAAGGAAGGGATTCTACACTCAGTCTTTGAGTCCGATCAACCAGACGGGTTTCTGCAGGTTCAAACAAACATTTGCATTCAGCACAATCATTTTTAATGTTATTCAGAAACATAATTTGACTAAAAAATAATAATTAGATTTTATACAGTTTGCTTTGATTAAAAATCATACAAATATAAAGACTTTTTTTTACCCTGAATACAGTCCTTTCACTTAAATCTGCTGATTTAATCACCATAAACAAAACTGACAATCATAAACATGATCCTAAATTATATAAATATTATAATATAGAAATTAGGTAACACATTTTCCGCTACACATCTTACATGTAGTTACCGGTACAATAGTAATAACAGTAAATTATAAGCAATAAACCCTAAAACAAACCCTTACCATAATTATATAGTAGGTAATCTTTGTAACGTATCCACTGCAGGCAAGTTTAACAAACCAATGTGCAGTTTAACCAAACAAACAAACAAACAAATACAAAGACTTGACATGACTTGGCTAAACTTGATTAAGAAACAAGGAAGAAGAAACTCACCATAACTGATGTCAAGCGCATATGCAGATTGATATCTAAAAAAATTGATATCTTAATTACAATAAAAATAAGATAAAACGCGGATAAAATAACTAGCTTGGTTTGCTATCACCGTCAGTTCATACTGCTGTTGACACTTTCTCTGACAAGCGGATGCGATGAGACCTGTTTGTTCATGTCAAATTTAAAATAAAGCCTATACAACATTTAGAATATTTAGAAAAATATTATATATAATTTAATATTTCTCGTTGCATGCAATGACCTCAACACTGTCAGAAATAATGTGCAAAAATTGTACCATCAGGGGTACAACAGCTTGTTACTGGGTCAGTACCTTTAGCAGGACAACTTTTTACATTCATTTGTTCACCTAAAAGGTGGATATTAAAGATTTAGAGATATATGTACCCTTAAGGTATAATACTATGAATCGTTTAAGTGTGAATCAAGTATAAAGATGGCCCAGTGAAATACTGTTGCACCCCTAAAGGTATTTTTGCATATTTTTCTGAGAGTGAGGAATCAGGTTTAAGAATGTGATTTTTGCGAGGTAAGAAAGGACTATAAGCACATAATTATTGCATATATTGTACATAACATAACACTGGGTTATTCATAGCTGCAGTTTTCATGACGATAATCATTTGCTTTGTCTGGTTCTTCTCCTGTAGTGGTGGACTGAGAAAGGGCTGGAATTAGTTGAAGAGATGAAAGAAAAAGAAAGCGGCAGTGAAAATAATGACAGTGCTTCTCAAACAACCAAGTATGACAATATACTGTAATGCTTGAGGTAAACATGACCAACTCTGTATATATCCCATCAGTTACATTCATCTCCTGCATTGTAGGTTCAAATCAACAGTGAAAAGCGTAAATTTCACACCTAATTCTTTGTTCCTCGGCCTTCATGAGACTCATTTGCAGTTTATTGTGTGGAAGGAGATGCTGGGCTCTATCAAACCAGGTGAGGACATTAGTTTTCCATATGTAGGCAACACTATGTATTAAAATACATGTTAAAGTATATTAAAGATACAGCACACTTAGTGGTGAACATAAAAAAAAAAATCATAATTGTTTCAAAACTTTTGACCAGTAGTTTTGGACTTGTAAGATAAGCTGCATTTATCTTTCAAATTTTTGTTTGTCTTTCTTAGTCCCTGATCGTAATGTCATACATGACTGTCATGACCCATACCTGAGGGTCTCCTCCGATGGGCGCAGCGTCATCCGCACATCCAAAAAGGGGATTTTTTTGCGTCACAAAGACTATAGGCCTCTGGCCAGGACCCACAAGACCTTCCAGTCAGGGCAGCACTACTGGGAGGTGGACGTAGGAGCGAAGATAGACTGGAGCGCGGGCTTTGATGGTGGCTGTATAAGCAACTTGAACAAGGACATTGGGCTTCACCTTAAACATGACCAAGGCTACTGCATCAAAGAGTATGAGACAGTGACAGACATAGATCTGACAGTGAAACCACACAGGATAGGGCTGTACCTGGACTGCGACAGATGTCAGGTGCGCTTCTATAATGCCGATGACATGACTCTACTGCACACCTCCACATACCCTTCCTCCATCCCTTACTCGCTCAGCCTCTCTCCTGGAGCTTATCTGGCAGGGAAGAATGCTGATCCTCTGACAGTGTCCTGGAACTGATCCGTCCCGGAAACAATTAGACACTTTATCAAGAAAGGAAAAAAGACCACAGGAGATTTTTGTTCTTTATTTTAGACAACAAGGGAAATATATGCAAGCTTATCTGGCATTTCTGCCACATAAGAAACAAATCATGCTTTGGTAAATAATAATTATGACATAAATTGTCAAAATGATCAGATACTGTAGTAATTATGAGAAAAGTCAAAATGATGACATACTAAGACAAGATTAAAAAGTCAATGATTTTTATCATTTTGACTTTTTATGTAATAATTATAACTTTTATCTCATAATTTTAACTTTTTGTCAATTTCAACCTTTTATCTCATAATTATGACTTTTTTGTCATTTTTTTGTCTTATGTGGCAGAAATTGACTTATATAGGAAATAGTTTAGATGCAGCTACCATGGTTATAAAGTCACCTTCATTCTTTCAACATGGTTAATTACAGTAAAAACAATATAGAGTATAGATTTATAGAAAATACATCATATATATATAGTTTATGGACTTGGTTTGTTTGATATTAGAAGTGTTGTATGGTTATACTGGTGCAACCATGGTGCATGGAAGGAAAAAGCAAAAGCAGTTTTTGAACAATACCAGTAACACTTGTGAAGTTGTCAAAATAATCAGAAAGTGGAGCTGAAAAAATAATATTGTTTATTATTTCATGAACGGGTTTTGGCGCACAGGCCTTCATCAGGGCTAAAAGATCCGCAATTAAGGTGCACAAAGACTTTAAATACAAACAAAGACAAAATTCAAATGTACACATAACCAATAAGAAAGTCAAATGTATGGCAATAACCAATCATAACATATGAGATAAGTGATCACAAGTGATCTTTGAATACGATGTTTATTAGAAGCTCACCATAAGAATAGAGGCTATTGGTGTCACGTCTAGTTTTGGTTTTGTTTCATGTTCATGTATTATTTTTGTGGTTTTCAGTTATGTTATCCTGCCTTGTCCTCACCTTTGTCATGTGATTCACTTGTCCTCTTGTGATCATGTCATGTGCTTCCTTTAATGTGTTCTCATTGGTTCATTGTTTAATCCTGTTCACAGATGTCTTGTCGGGTCATTAGTCTCTGCGTATTTATTAACCTCATGTTTCCAGTCTTTTGTCTTGTCCCTGTAACCATTGTCGGTGAGTGTCAAGTCAAGTTTTTAATTTTGTATCTGTTCACGTTGGGTGTTAATAAATACTGCACTAGCGCACCTTCAGTGGACTACCTGTCACGCCCACTAGAGCCTCATCAATAGGGCATGTATGCGCTGAACAGTAAGTTACAGTTAGTAACAGTAAACTAATCCTGGAACAGAACCTGAACCTGTGCAGGTTATGTTCAGAGAGTAGGTTTCTATGGCTACTTACACACACTGAAAGTTACCTCCGTTTTTGGAACCGAAAGTTGAGGTTATCCATTTACTTACACTTAATCATACCCCGGCTATGTCATATAACCTGCTTTCTGGAATACCCCCCTGTATTGCAGCTGACGTGTATAAACAACACCAAACACTGTACATTTGTGGCCACAGCACTTATACTCTTCAGCACCACACACACCTGTTTCTTTTCATCTTTTATTGGGTATATTTACAAACACCAACATGCATAGAGCTGATTCACAGGGAATTACAGAACTCAAGAGTTGGTACAGAACATATTATGCTTTAAGTGTGCTACCAGCGATGGGCAATACCACACAGAGCTACGCAGCTCATCACCACACAAAAGTACACTCACACAAGTGATAGAAAGAGAGATAGATAGACAAGAGAAACAGATGAATAGCAGATAATTTGGTATAATTAACCACAAACAATCAGTACACTATATTTATAATGCAACATAGCCGTTTCTTTCTCCAAAACATACTAATGTAATTCAAATCTCACAATTATAAATGCAGTTATAATGAAAATAACAGCTACAGTACATGAAAAATAATATAATAATAATAAATCATGCATCATTGCAGTTTGCCCTGTGAGGTAAGACTATGATACTAAATATGATTTTCTACCGAACCCCTGCTTAACTCTCAATTTCAATTCAACTCTCAAGCCAATTACAAAGCTAACTTCACAAGGAGTTCTGTCTCAGATTTTTTCTCTCGAATATACCGCCTAAACTATATCCTAAAAACAGTACCAATTGTCCCTGACAAAATAGTAGATACATAAATCCCAGACATTAAGTTTCAATTGTAAGCTTTCATACGCTACACTTACAGTAATGTGAATGCTCAGTTCTTTCAGTGCTCAGTTGATACTGTATAGCTGGCTGCTTTTCTGCAATTGGATGGAATCGTCCTGAAGGTAAATCATCATGTGGTGTAATGGACAAAGCTGTGTTCCATGCGGACTGGCACGTTATCGAATATGTTTTTGATTAGCAGCTCAGCTGAAAGCAGTGCCAAGCCAGAGGTGTGACAAAAATGTATACTACACATGAGCATTCAATTGTGGGAAACACAGAGGGCCATTTAATGAACAAGAATTAGCAAGCTCTAATTTAAATCACCTTTCCCACTACAGCCACTAAAAGGCTACCTTTAGCATGAAGCAATTTTATCTTGAGTGAATGTGTCCGTGCTCACAAATAAGTTGTATAGATGATTATTACCTTACATTTGCTACACACATTCATACACATTCATGCAGGTTTAGTATGTAAACCCCTGATTCAACACATTATACTGATGCAGAATATCCATTCAAAAGAAAATCATCAATGCCATCAATCATATATGGGTTTCCCCAGCAACAAGCCTCATAAACAGTACAGTACAGAGTATGCATAGTCACTATCAAGCTCATGGTGATACAGATCTTACCACATAAGCCATCACACTGTAAGAAATATAAAAGAATCATCTACACACTACCACACTAATATATTTGACTGTTACCATTGAGAGTTACAATAATAACAATAAGACAATAATAATGTTGGTCAAAAATGTTCAAAAAAAGTTTTTCCTTTTTTTCTGGTAAGGGAGATAATAAAATTAGGGAATCCTCAGGCAACACAAAGTTCATCCATTAATTGTTTGTGTACAAATTAGGAGAACAAATTATTACTATTTTGAGGAATAAATTATTTTTTATTGTCAAGCAATTAGTTTATAGACTGACTAGTCAGTAAATCCTTAGCTTTTTAATAAAAAATAAAATAAAATTGTATAATAAATGAAAGAGTTAACTTCAGTAAATCTTTGATTTATGCACTAATGCAGCCCCCAAATAACCAAAACTCATGCCTTTGCAATAATGAAGTTGTGTGCATCTTTATAAAACATTGCTGGGCTGATGATATGACAAGAAAGGGTTTGGATAAAAAAGCCACATATGGATATTGGTTGTTTATTGGACTTAAAATTATGATGAAGTGCTGCTTTGAGAATATACATTTTTTGATAACTTTGCGCTGAGCTGTTTAATTAAGTAAGCTTGTGGGCAAGCCATTTGTTATGGCAGAACACCTAATAATAAATACAATATGATGGTTTTATTTTTTGTTAAACTTGATACTTATTCATTACCCATTTCTATTTCCAGTTTATCTGTCTATCTATCTTTGTAAAATCTATATATATATATATATATATATTGATAATTTATACAGTAATTTATAATGATTTTTTAGCTATATATCACAGAAAATATTCCAGACATCACAAACCAGGCAAGAGGGTCAGAGATAAACGGATAAACACGTAACACGGCTACTAATAACTACGTCTATTATATGGTCTCTTTTTCCTTGTATGCTATCCCCTGATATTTTTTCCACACAAACATACGGGCAGAATTAAAGATAAGTCACATGATAAGTGAAGCATAACCAATGGGAACAAGGCCCTCTTTGTGACCTTGACGACATCGAATCCAGTCGTGGTCCACACCTCCCAACAGAACAAGCTCCTCCCCCTTCCTGAAGCTCAGCTCGGCTCCAGTGCCTGTGTGGTCACACAGAGTTCTGACCCCCCTGATCAACCAGAACACAAGACTCAGAACAATGACAGTAATAGCAGCGTTGCTGTCGTTAAATAAAATTAAATGATAACAACAAAACCTCTATCTATAAATTCAAATCTCAGCTTAAAACCTATTTGTTCTTGCAATATTATCAGTCATAGTGTGTATTTTCTTCATGTACTGCTCACTGTGTTTGTATGCTTACATCTTTCTATGCTGACACTGTGCTGTGTTCATCTTTATGGAATTGAATATTTTGCACAATTTGATATAACTGCTAAACGCAACCGCATTGGCTCTTGTTCTGGACTGGGCAAATGTCCATTGTCCATATGACTGTGCATATTATTGACTGTATGATTGTCATGTTATTGTTCTTTATTGTGAAGCATCTTTGAGCTCGGGAAAGGTGCTATATAAATTAAACATATTATTATTGTTTATCATTATTATTATTAAAACGATTAAAAACAGGTTTGTTATTTGAACTGAAGCTGAAATACTATGTAATGTGGATATCAGATGAGTGAATAAATTTACTAAAATGACTAACTGAAATGAAACTAAAACCATAAAATATATAACTGAAATAATAAATGAAAACTATTTAGAAATAAAAAACCTAATAAAAATTACAAAGTACATAACAAAAAAATTAACTATATTAACTATTTAATTAAAATTAAATCTAAAAATAAAAGCTTATTCAAAATATTAAAATAAAAAACTACAATAGTATATGAATAATATTAAAATAACACTGAGTAAAAATGTTCAAAGACAAAATAGATTGTGCTTTATGGGTCAATGAGATATAGAATTTGTCCATGATAAATCAAACTTAATGACTCTGCAAATGTAGTGCAAAGTAATAAAACATTTTCCTTTCATCTTAAATACGTGCACACATCTTATTATTTTTATTATTAAGTTAAATAAAAAAAGGCCCTAAAAGGTTTGAACATTATTCTCATAAAATGCATAAATGTAAATCTCTTAAAAAAGATTGTGAATAATCCAATGAAACCTTTACCTCGGGGGCTTTGGCTGATCTCTGGTTTCATTATTCTTTTCATTTTCATCTTCTTCCTTATCTTTGTTTCTCTGGAGCTCTTTCTTCTCAGGCGGAGAAACCTGGCCAAGATTCACTATGCGAGAAAAGACGGATACGCCAGGGGAGAGCCACTGAGATGGACGTCTATAAACAGAATACAAAG